CAATTTCCCTCATTCTTTATGAGACTGACATTGGTTTTAGACCACAAAAAAATTATCACCTTTAACACTAATTCCCTTTTCAGGATTCATTTCATTGTAATAATATACATAAGATGATCTTGCATTACAAAGCAAAGCTTTCCCAAATTTTTACTTATTGCTATATTTTAAAACAAAACTGTGCTTTTCTTTCCATTTTATATCTATTGCCTCTCCCTCTTTGTGAAACTTATTCACAGGGGGCAAGGCTTGGCTACATAGAGTGAGGCCTGGCAAACAGAGGCAGGAAACACAGAAAAAAATGGGTCTGTCAGACTCATTTTCTTTTAGGTTTTACTGCTGAATGTTTATATCAGATTTTGGAGGAAGCTTCCATTTCCTTACATGAGTGACCTACTGGATGTACAGTGAAAAAGAATTAACTTTTTACAAGTCTATAAAGGAAATAAAAATGTGGATATATTCACAACACAACCTAGATTGGTTTTTAATAGCCCTCTTTGCTCAAGTTTGTTTCCACCATCTTGCATTTGATGACTAAATAGCTTTGCTGTCATCCAGAAACGTTTCTGATCCTTTTATAAACTTCCCCGTTTCCCCACTCATGTATTAATGTTGTGATGTGGCGTTCATCCACCTCATGTATACAAGTACTTAACACAGTTAACTGTTACTCCATTTAAGAAAATAGGTGAAGTATATTCAAACAAATAATGCAATTCACTTTGTAGCCAACCTGTACAATTACTTCCATGCAGGCTCCATAAAAAACAAAAACAAAATCTTCCTGAAATAGGACAAATGAGAAGGTCTCTCTCTTTTTTTCCTTTGATAAATAAACATCTTTTTGTCTTTCAGGGGAAAAGGAAGGGGTTTCTTTGGAATCTTTTTAATGTTTACCGTTATCTGTCTCCTTCTGAGAGTAGTCAGAGTTGCAGTGTCTATCTCACTGCTTTCCCATTTTGACAGTGGTCTTTTTAAATGTCAAATGGGGAATATTAAAACACTACGCTGAATAATCTTTTGATGAGTTTACTATTAAACTATAACAGATGGGGCTGTCTTAAGCTCTAGGCATCAGAAATTAAGCCCAATTTTAGATACAAATTACTTACTGAGAATATTTATAGATGGTAAACTTCTTGGAAGCAGTCCATTAAATTATAACACAGATTAATCCCTAACTTTTCAAAAAGTCAAAAGCATAGATAAATTAAGTCTTGCTTGTTTAGGAGAGTTTCCAATGCCATGTATGTGTGCAATCCCATGAACCTATGTTTAATTATTTTTAAAATGTATTTGAAAGCACCCTTTTCCTCACTCATGAGTTGTAGTGTTGTCTGACAGGAACTAAGCACATAAAAGTAAGAGTGCATGTGGAGGCAGAGGAGGACTATAGCTAGTCTCTGTAAACTGTTGTATTGATTAGACTGTAAACATTAAGTTAGTGTTAAAAAGTGTCAGACTGCCCTGATTACATTATACCCTGAATACAGCACATATCATATTATTCACCAAGTACCAAGAACTGCTAAATGACACTGAGTTAATTTTAAAATAACTATTTGGGTTTTCTGGGGGGAAGGAGTAATTCTTAGTTGGTATATGGACAGCACCCATTTCTGAAAATAGCTCAGAAATGTCATATGAGGGGATGAAAAAGGAGCATAAAAGAAAGAAGAATAGGTAAAAAATTAGGGGAATGACAGAAAGAGAGGGAGGGGGGAGAGAGAGAGAGATTTATGAAGGTCACTGAAACAAAACAGTTCTATGTGAATATATTTTTCATTGAAATGTAATATGGGGAAACTATGCAGAGTCATGTAATTTTTGCACACAATGTTGTATCAAATTTAAATTTGTTACAACCCTCGTGTACATTAGGCTAGTGATAACAAAAATGTAACTTAATATCTGGCATAATGAAACAGCAAGCAACATGAATTTCCAGTCATATTAAAGCTGAGCAGTAAGTGACATAACTGATGTAACACATGAAAACCAAGCAGCTCAGTTTTGGTGATCATTCTTGAGTAAATATGTGACTGTATCAAACATAAAATCTTGAAGGAAGTCTCTGTGATGAGGTAATTTTATTGCTCATTCATAGTGCCTTGCATTGGCTGTACTTAAAATAGACACTCGTACCAATGGCCTTTTTATTACCCCAAGGAAAAAAATCTCATACACACCAGTCCTTTTTCTTTCTGCTAGGAAAGGGAAGCAATTTGATCCAACGTGGGCTGAAACCTGAGTAGGTCACTGTACACCACGATAAAATTCCCTAATCCCTGAGCCAAATTTCCCTGAGGGGGCCCTCCTACTACTCCTTCACTTTCCAACTGACTTTTCCATTCCCTCTCTCATCTTTCCCTCCCCTTCATCTCTTTCATTTCCCCTACCTTAAAGCCTTGATATCTGATCTGCTGCTGGTACTCAGGTTACAGTTTTTACAGCTTAGGCTGTCTATTGCTGTATACATTCCTTTCTTTCTGCTCTGCCGTGATTACTTACCAGAGCTTATTTTACACTGGTCCAGATGAAAGCAGTTCAGATGAAGGGAAACAGTCAGGCTGTTTCAGCATTACAGATATGAACCTATACAAGGGCACATTGTGTTCCCTATGACATTTTGTTGCAAACATTTTATACAGTGTGACTAATTTATGTTACTGTACTCTTCAGGTTTAAGAAAATACCAATTAAACATGTGTGTGTGCGTGTCAGGGAAAGCAAGTGACCCTCCCAGGATTTTAGTGTTTTAAGTGGCATAAACATAATTTCTTAAGTAGAGCAGGCAATTCTAAGAGCCACCCAGTACCATTAAAAATGGGATCCCCCAGCTTCACAGCACAATGTGCACTCCAAAGTGTGATCTGCTTTGTGAAAGCTTCTGTCCCCTCTCACCTCACCCCAAAACAAAAAGAAAAAAAAATGAGGCTCTCCTCTCAATTCCAGTTCTACCATTCCCTAGTTCCTGAGTTAATTGTTTGTGAGGATGAAATCAGAGGTTTGTAATGTTAAGCAGTTACCAATGATTAGAAAAAAGGACAAACTTCCTACACCAAGGTGAATGCCAATGCTTAATACCAAAGCATTAGTTTAAAATTGTGTAATTTTTCTCCTTCACACAATGTTGTTTTTGTTTCTTCCTCACCATTTCAGACAAACATCTGTTATACTGTAGGAGAACAACTATCTCCCAAACCGCTGAGTGTGCCTGCAGCCAAAGTAAACAAAACAAACCCAGAGGATCCAGCACAGTCAGCCTTTATATCCAGCCAGGATAACATTTCACATGTTTTGATTAAAATTAGCTAATTTGCAATTCTAGAACCTATGAAACTTAAAAGCTACAATCCATATATATCGCATTCAGCGATGCTTTGGAGGGCCGCAGCCCAACGTGATGGATTCCTGCCCCTTCTTCTCTACCCCCACCCCCAAAGCCTCCAAAAAACAAACTAGCTGTGATTCTGGTGAGCAATTCCTGTTACTACCCAGTGCCTATCCAGAGCCCCATCAGAAAAGTAGTCTCCCACCCAGCAATAACATCCCCGGGATTGGAATCCAGAGTGGTTTGATTGTGAAAAGATGCCACTGACACGCAGGGCAGTTCTCCCTTATTTTGTCCAACCCAGTAATGCTACCCTTGTCCACAATTCCAATTCTGGTGTGCCACACAGACAACATGAAAAAGAAAGCCTACCTTAACTGGGAGAGAACGCCTACCTCAAATTAGTAATGCAGTTGGGAGAGGATTGTGTTTTCCCATTGAATTTTATGGGTAGAGATCAATGCTATACAACAAAATGGTCTTGTTAATAGATATGCATATATCTGTCTTCTGCATAATATACGTATTATACAGGCGTCTGACATTTTCACAGCACTACTCCACTTACATTTCATTTTCATATGAATTACCTGCTTAAACAACAGCAGTTGCATCTTATAGTCAAACTATCTTGTTTTAAAATTACTTTGTACAGCAAGTTTAAAAGAAAAAAAAACTAAACAAAAGGAAGTTCAGCTGATGTCCTGCAATACATATGACTTGTCTGTGACTCCAGGGCAGAAATGTAAAATAAAGACAGGTCAGAGAATAGACATGTAAAACAGACGCACAAAATGGGATGAGTCCAGCCCGGATAAAATAAGTCCTGCAGTGGGTTTGTCTGTGCAATCGCTGCCATTCCAACATCTGGAGGGGCAGCCTCCAGCGCTACCTCTGGAGCACAGCTGGATTGGCACAGTTTCCCAGCAGAGACAGGACACCCCTCGGAACAATAAATAGGCTTCTAGCAAAACCAGCCCTCGGACAGCCTGCTCTCAACAACACCTCTGCTGCTTTGATTAACTGTTAAGTGAGGCGAGAAAGAAAAGGGGGGGGGGGAGGAGTCCCTGTATCTAAGTACAGAATGATGTGCAGCTCAGACCATAACATTTCACTCTGACAATTTAATTACACGCCTGCAGCTGGCTACTGAAAAGACAAGAAAGACACTGCTTTAAAAAGCTGTCCCTTCTTGCTTAACTTTAGCTACCTGGGAGGCTTGGGGGGTAGACACTGCTCAGCCTCGGCACCCGAGAAGCTGAAAACCCCATTAAGAGTAGCTGGGGGTGGAGAGGAGGGGGTTACTTTAATTAATTTTGGGGTTGTTGTGGTTTGGTTTCAAATAAAGAAATCCAAGCCGGTCAATGACTAGGATTTGCAGGCTGTGCATTCGGCTGTTTTCAGCCCAGGAGGCGGAGTTGAGACACATTCAGTGCATCCTACCCCC